TCAAGTGAGCTACGTGAAAAGAAGAAGGCATAATAGTCCATCGCATCTTTTTTATTTTCTTCAATTTCCTTATAATTAGAAGACGTGAAACCCATGCATCAATATGTTGTTTTATAAAAAAAATACATATATTAGTGAATTTAATAAAAAAATTTAAAAAATAATCAAAATGCAATATAAGAAGAATATAAGACTTACCCCCCATTCGAAATAGTCATTCTCTTCAACCTTTTGAACGATGAGAGGGATCTCTTGAACTATGACAGGTGAATCGGGCTTCTTCTTACGGAGTCTTGGAACTATTGGGGTGAAAGGAGACATAATGACACGTGTATGACGTCTGATGCGTGAACCCCGTCATGCAAGAAAAACTCGACATAAAGCATCTACCTTATCGGGCCGCTAAAAATAAATTAATACATAAATCAGTAAATAAATAAATAAATAATGCTGAAAAAAGGTTATTTGTATTTTTAGTATAGTATTAAACAAACTTACCTCATTGCGTAGAGCGTGAACCTCATTCTGCAACGATGAAACAATCTAACGTAGAGCGGCTACCTCATTACGTAAAGTAGATACCTCACCACGTAAAGCACCATTATCATCGCGTAAAACATCTACCTCACCACGTAAAGATCGTACCTCATCACTTCATGCACCATTGTCGTCACGTAAAGTACCGACCTCATCACGTAAAGCACTGACCTCATCACGTAACTCCCCTAACTCATCCCGTGGAGGTGGAGAACAGGGAGATAAATGTCGTGGCATCTTTTTCGGTCGCCTATCATGAGGTGATGGTGGAGAAGAGGCTCGATGATGTGATGGAATAGGTGATGGCTCTAGGTGTCGAGCTGTAGAATCGGCTCGATCAGGTGATGGCTCTCAAAGTGGGGGGTGCTCATCATCCGTCCCATAAAAAACGCTTACTAGCTTGCCACCAATCAGTGACAAGCTCAGCCTCTGTGGGTGTCAGCCTCTGTACAGTTGGATCCTCCTCCAGGTAATAGCCTTAGGAATATCATTTGACTTTTTGATGGCATATGTTCGCATGATGGGAAAAGCCTCAAATATCCAAATCTACAAACAATATAATACACAAACATTGATTTTAGTAATTGTTAAATAATTAATTATAATTTTGGAAACATTATATAGAAGCCCAAATAAAGCCTACCAAAGTGTATTTGGAACCATGGCCACGCAAACTACGATAGTCCTCAAAGGCAGTTGACAACTTTTTCCAAGTAGCTTTCCATAGATATGAACCCCACGGAAACACGTTCCATGCATCTAGATCCTCTACCAATAATATTAAATCCTCATAAATAAGTTGTTTGCCCTCTTTTCCTAAAAAGATGGCATTCAAAAGTAATAAAAGGCATACTCGGACAACATCAAGGTCATCCATCCGAGTAAAACCATCTTTAAGAAGTAATCTTTTGCAATCGTCGACGTGTAAACTGGGCTTCACATTTGCCAGCTCAGGAAAAACCCAAAATAACCATGATGGGCGGGCGATATGACTAGTGTACCAACCTACTTCATCGTGTCGTCCGAAATATAGACAAGTGATTAAGCAAAACTCCTCCCGTCCAAAACAAGTATACGCCGGTGGAAAATGAAACCATATCTCTTCATCACCACGTTGTATCCTCTCGGGTAGATCGTTACTCATGGTCTGAAGAAACAAATGGGTCAACATAGCATCTCCACCTGGATGTTGTACTTTCAGCCATGGCCCGAAACAAGTTTTCTCAAACAAATTTCTTTGTACAGGTGTAAGTGTCGACGCAATTGTAGTGGGTAGGCTTAATTTATTCCTTAAAGTCAATGAAGCCGAAAAAAATCCTAACAAAAACAATAAACATACCAAGTTAGATATACCAAAAACTACAAATTATACACTATAAACTGACATGATATTAAACAGGGAAAATATAGCCAAATATGTTTCAAACTAGCACGCTATTCACTCAAGTCATTATTCTATCATAGTTCACAAAATACATCAAATAACATTCCAGAAATAAGCACTTATATCACATTTAAAAGGACAACATATAGGTTTAGTGCAGATTCAAGTACAACATAAAGAGTAGTAGTTTGTTCTTGAAACTTAAATTCGCAACACTGTGAAGTTAGTATTTGTCTTTGTTTTTTGATTAAAGTAATGCAATTCATTCAAGTTTCAATTTGCAGAAGAAGAGTAGTTTTTGAAACTTAAATTCGCAACGCGAAAATGAAAATCACAACGCGAAACTAAAATCGCGTTGCGATTTTCATTTTCGTGTTGCGGTTTTCGTATTGCGAATTTCATTTTCGTGTTGCGAATTTCATTTTCGTGTTGCGAATTTAAGTTTTAAAAACTATTCTTCTGCAAATTGAAACTTGAATGAATTGCATTACTTCAACCAAAATACAAATACTAACTTCACAGGGTTAAAGACTAAACAGTTTAGCAGTATTGGTAGCAACCGAATGAATTTATTAAGCAATCTAAGTGAAATGGTTAATCTATATATTGAAATTACCAGTAAATTTATCATCAATTTAAATATGAAAAATCTAATAATAATACAAAAAATTCAAAATAAAAATAATTAAAAAAACTAACCCTCTGTGGTTGATTTTCTATTTGTGGCCGTGAATGGTTGTGAGGGTGGCTCTGAGAGATGGAGATAGAGGGGGGTCGCCGGATATAGGGACGGATGTCGCCGTAGAGAGTGAGAGATGGAGATGAGATTGAGTTGTGCTTTAGGGTTTTAGGTTATGAGTTACAATTATATTGTTTACATTTGTGTTGCGAAATTAATATTGTGTTTCGAATTCGAAAATAAAATTCGCTTTGCGAATTTGACTTCTGTGTTGCAATTTACAAATTTGCGTTGCGATTTATATATTCGCATTGCGAATTACATATTCGCGTTGCGATTTCCATATTCGCGTTGCGAAATTCAAAACTAAGTTACGAAATTAGAGTTCGCGTTGCGAATTTGTTGGTCATTTTCGTAAATCCAAAAAAAATTGGTTAAAATCGTATATTATAAGACATTTTCGGTCACTGAAGTTATTTTCTCTTCTTATAATGAATTTGCACTTGATGCAGGTGTTATAATATCGTAACGATAATTGATAAACAAAAATTAATTGAATATAAAAATAAAAAAACATTAAGATTTACGTGAAAAATTTAAAAGTGAAAAATGATGAACAAAGGAAAAAAAACTTTCACAAAGTACAAGATTTATTATAATGTTACACTCAAAAACCGTAATCTCAACTTTCTATTCATAGAGATCGAACGAATTATACAAGAACCGTACTTGATTGTGACTTCATGACCATTTCTAAAAAGAAATTGGGTCATAATTCAAATAACATGCATGAAAAATAGTGACATGTTTTTATCAATTGAAGATTTCCAATTAGATGCTTTTCATGTTGCTACGTAGGTGTATCCCAAAATATGGAGGCTATATGCTATCTTTCAAAATTTATCATACTACGATTGTTTTCTATAAAATAAAAAAAATTAAATATATGAAATTAAATTTTCTTCACACGTGTGTGCAATAGGAAAAATAATTTTTCTGTATTAATAAATATTTTTTAAAGACGTATCACAAGTTACACTTACTAATAGACAGGTCTGTTGTCACATATGAATTTTTAATCAAAAAAACATGCCATTCGCACAATACTGAAGGCTCTAATACATTAAAATACCCGACAAGCACCTTCGAAAGTTGGACCTAGATGAAAAAAAGATGTTTTTAGCATCCATACAAAAGCCACCCCAAACAACTTCAACTAGGAACCACCCCATTTAAATTGTGTACTTCCTTTTTACCACGTGTGTGAATTATGTTGAATGCTTAGCTTCAATCAGTTTTCAACAGGGAACGGATAACTTCACTCTTTGCACTTGAATCTGCAGGTGGTGAATTAACATACCCCCACAAGCACCGTCGGAAGTTGCAGCTAGACGAGGAGGAAGTTGCTGTTAGCATCCAGACAAAAGCCACCCCATTTAATCAATTTCCTTTTTTACCACGTGTGTGCATGTCATAGTCCTTTGTGTTGAATGCTTAGCTTCAATCAACTTCCTGACAGTGAACGGATAACTTCACTTTCTGCACTTGAATCTGCAGGTGGTGAATTACATACACGTACATATGATGACAACTAAAACTGCTGTTCGGAGTCTTTGGGAATGAAATTCAGAGTCAAAAACTGTATTTTTCCCACAGTTTGCCACTGGGATTGATTGAGTTAAGTTTGTCTAAATCTGTCAAAACAATGCTCTATACGAGGGAGGATGCTGAATTTCAGCTAACCAACAAGCTGCTATAAAACATGAGTCAAGGAGGAATGAAGAAAAGGTGAGAAGCAAACAAGTAGATATGGAACGAGTCATTTTCTTTATAGTTACACATGCATAACTGTTGGGACAAGTTATAATTTTTCGTTAAAAATAGGTGGCTAACGTTTTCTCCTTTACACTTTTGGACATTTTGGACATGTTAGAAAGATTGTCCTACAGTGGGTTAGAAGCAAGCAAACCGTTATCAAAAACTGATTGATCGACGTGGAAAATTGAGTCCCTTACAAGGGATGGTCATGCAACCAATATATCTGCCTGCTGCAATGATAGGGAGTAGCATGTAAATATGTAGTGAAGAGGAAGGTAAGGAAATCCATCAATCTGAGGAAACAATATTGGGGAGCTGAAATTGGTAGTTAAAGTTGAAATGTTAGTCAAAAATCGTCCAGTAGTGTAAGAAAAAAAGGTAAAAAGACGTGTTGTGAAACCAAGATAACATTGTTGACATTTTTGGGTGTGCAGTCGGATTTCGAAATTATAATTAACATATTGTCTTTCACATTCCATGTCAAAAACAGTGAAAACTCACGAAAGTCTGGTCATCTTCTTCAATATAAGAAACTTATGTTGTCTTTTGCTTTAATTTACCCCACCCTACGGTCCTTTTACCATGGGAGAGAACAAGGCAGGTGAAAGCAAGGATCCCCACATTGTTACAGATAAAGAAGTGAAGAAGAATCAGTTGGTTCCTAAGAGAAGTCCTAACAAAGATAGGCATACCAAAGTTGAAGGAAGAGGTAGAAGAATAAGGATGCCCGCTTTATGTGCAGCTAGAATCTTTCAGTTGACCAGGGAATTGGATCAAAAATCCAATGGGGAAACGATATAATTGCTGTTGCAACAAGCTGAACCATCAATAATAGCCGCCACAGGGAGCGGGACCATACCGGCATCGGCTTTGGCAGCAGCTGGAGGCTCGGTTTCACATCATGGAGCCTCTCTATTAGCAGGGTTGCACCAAAAGATAGAAGATTTGTGAGGGTCCAATACAGGGTTATGGCCCTCAGTCAGTGGTACTTGCAGGCTAATAATGTTGGTCAGATGAGCTTCACCTCAATGTTGGGAGCGGATAACCAGCAGCTCCCTGGTTTGGAACTTGGGTTGTCTCAAGATGGTCATATAGGGGGTTCTAAATCGTCGAGTTTTTACCCAAATTTATCAGCAGATGGTGCAGGCTAGGGTGCTCCAGCAACAACAGGATCAGCACCAGCAACAATCCACTTCTAAGGATGATTCTCAAGGATCAGGCCAGTGAAGTTATAAATAGTACATTCCTCAGAATTCTACAGGGACTGGATGGATACTTTGCATCTCTCAATTTTCCTTGCATCTCAATCCACTTCTAAGGATGATTCTCAAGGATCAGGCTAGGGTTCGTGTTTGTTTCTTTTTGCTTTGGAATTTGCAGGTGGAGCTTTGCACAGCCTAGTAACTTGGCTTTGAGATTAACTTGTTTGATTCAGAGGTTTGTTGATTGTTTTGTAAAGAAAATTTTATGGGTAAACTAAACTTTTAACTTTTTCAAAACATAATTAGTATTTAGTTTTTATTTCATTTTAATATCTCATTTAAAAACTTAATGTTAAGTTTTGGGGAAAAAAATGAAAGTTTAAGTAGACTAAAACTGATAGTTTAGGTACTAGACGTATTAAGTTTTTAACGGTGAGTACTAAAATGAAACAAAAACTAAACGTTAGGTATAATTTTGAAAAAAATTGAAATTGAAATACCAAAACAAATCAAAACTGATAGTTTATGTACTGAACGCGTAATTTTCACATTTTATTTGTTTTCTTTTTCTCTGGGTCTGGATGGAGTGGCAATCGGTTTGTTTGTGAAAATTAAACATGAAAATTTACAGTCATATATGTCCAGTTTCACGTTGGATCAAGAATCAATTTTTATTTCTCTAAAAGAACATAGCTGCACATAAATGCCCAATTGTTTAGTACCTCTGGCTGCCCAAGCCATGTATGCTTCTTACTGTTTGCTAACATATCTGAACCCCATATGTTGAAGCAACAAAGTTCTGTTTTCAAACATATCTCTTAAAGTCCTGGAGTTGAGCACGACGTGTAAAGGAATATATGAGTCATTGTTAAATGGTTGTGAATTATCTTATAATCACCTTAGATTAATAAAATAAAACTTAAAAATGTTCTGGATTTACAATTAAGTTAAAACCCTAGCTCATAAGAAACGCTACATTGTATGGACCCAACCTTTTAAAACAACCCCCATCCACATTCTCATCTCTCAGTCGTACGGCGCCAAACGAAATTTTATTTTATTGATTGAAACAAATGAGTCTTAATTGTTACAGGTGATTCATCTCTAATAATTTAAGTAGAGAATCTTAATCAATAAAAAAAAATCGTTAATCGAAATCAAAATCTTTCTGTCTCCATAGAGAGGTAAAGGAGGATTGAATGGCAAAAGAGTGACGAGTTTCATCCTCTCGCTCTAGATCAAAAGCTTTTAAGGTAAATTACATATTTAGTACTTAAATTATCAATTTGATCCATTTTAATACTTAAATTTTAATTTTTTTTATCAAAATCATATCTAACATTTAGTTTTTATTTTATTTTAGTATCTTACCATTAAAAACTTAACGTATTTAGTACTTAAATTATCAATTTTAGTCCACTTTAGTACCTAAACTTTTAATTTTTTTCAAAACTTAATTTTAAGTTTTTAATAAAGTATTAAAATGAAACAAAAACTAAATATTATGTATTATTTTAAAAAAAATTGAAAGTGTAGGTACTAAGAAAGACCAAAACTAATTATTTAAATACTAAACGCAAATTTACCAAATGTTTTATGGTGACCCTTCTCTCGCTCAAGATCAAATGGTTTTACAGCGACTCTTACAATTAATGATAACTAAAAACTCAGATTTACAGGGGTTAAAAGATTTACTAAAACCTTATTAAAAAAATCAATCAATGCCTATGCTTCTCAAAAATCATCTATAGGGTTAAAAGATTTACGGGGAATGCACATAGTAAGTGTGGTTGTCAATCGTCAAGGCGTTGGATCTCACCCATCATTATACGGTTGCTTGTGACTTTGAAACCTAATAGAGCAGGATCAATTTGTCTTCCTTTTTTCCCTTTCTTGTTGCCGCGTCCGGCTTGTGGAACGGCGTCTGATGGTTCCAAACAAGTGCTGTTAGCCGCCTCAGTCCCGCGAAGCATCGGCTTCTTTAGAATCTCCATGAATGAAGCTTCAGACACTGCAGCATCATTGCATGATGATGTCCTTCTAAAACGGACATCTTTCTTGCTTGATGCCCGAGTTTCTACGCACCTCATTGATCCTAGATTTGCCGCTGTCTCCCGTCTTCCTTCTGAACCCGGTCAATAAGACACAAGATATTGTGACAAATATATACGATTTAAGAAAAGATACATAGGTCTCGAAAATTTTCTTTTCTTCATTCGTCATTTTTATAAATTAAAGAAAGATAAGTCGAAATCATACCATCAGAAGTTGCAAGGCTTGCAGAACTGTTCTGTTTGACAAATGCCAGTGAGTTTTGATCAGAAAAGACATCCTGGGATGAAGAAACCTTTGGCACAGGTGGGCATTTTTGTGAAACTTTGTCCAGTCCCTTTGGCAGTATTGAAGGTAACCTTATCAATAAAAGAGGGCCTTTAGATGGTTTTGCAAATTAAATTTGATTGGTTAAAACTAAGAACGTATAACGAAAAAATTAACGCAAAAGCTCCAACATTGACTCCTACTCATTGTAGCAGCATCTATTACGAGTCATGATGATGGACATCAAATACTATTCTTTTACATATAGCACGTAGTAAAAGAACCTCATCTATCAGTAGAAACATCATTGCCAACCAACTTATCTAATCCAAACCCACCGCTCCCATCTGCACCATTTCACTTCCCAGATTTAATTCATATAAAAAATGGATGCTACCGGGGAAATGTTGTTAAGGAGATTACCAGTACTATGAGAATTGTGCCGGCTATGGATGCTACTTCGTAGATCACCACACTCCTAGGTCGCCTCTACTAGCACGTTGTCCTCAAAGCCTGACACAGAACCATTCCTAGCAAGCACGCCTTTCATTCCATTTTCCTTATCCTTTGCTTCCAGTTCTGCTATTTATCCGCAGCTGATTTTCTCATCAAGTTAGCATCTGCATTACTACAAGGGTCTTCAATCCCATCAAGAATGACTAATCTTCTACAAATGAGCCAGAACCAGCTTTAAGAAGCAATCTTTTACAGTTAACCATTTGGTTGACAGAACCACTTGCAGAAACTCCATGCAAATGATCTTGCAACAAGGCACTTTAATCAGAATTTTGAAGGCCTTCCGGAAATAAGTTCACATGAACTTCCTGGTTTGGAAAATGATTAAAAGGGAAATTGGAAGTTTGCTGCTCAGAAACAGGCCAAAAGGTTTCCCTCCTTCTAGAAGATGAAGTAGAATGTTGACAATCAACTTCTGATGATTGCATAGATTGAATACCAAGTTTTTGTTGAAGAAGGTCCATTAAAGCTTTCTTAGAGTTGTCATGAACCCCTGCAGCTGATGCCCAAGGGCTTGAATCAACTTCAGACTCCCTTCTTTGCAATTCTGCTTCAAGATTTAATTGCTGCATCGGTTTTGTGGTCCAACTCTTTCCTATCTGCTCATTTTTCCTTGAGTTGAAGCTCTCCATTGCCGCAGGAAGAGGAGCATATGCATTAATTGAAACTTACTGGCTAAGAGGGTGGTTACCTGAAGAAGAAGGACCAAGTTGGTTGTTTGAGTGCATGTAAAGATTTTCAGCTAGATATAGAGAATTTGCATTTTCTACTTTTATCCCAGGAGTATCTGCAGGGAGATTCAAACTGCCAAATGCTGTAGAGTTGGGGTCAAAATTCCCTTGCTCCGGGAGATCCTCCAAAGCATGATTCTTTCTAAGATTGCAGTAATGCTCTTCAAGAGGGGACAGCCTCTTCTGGTAAAGATCTGAACCATTCAACCCTATAGAATGACCCTGATGATGATTGCTAGGATTCCCAACAAATTGACCAACTTCATCCACAGACAATGAACCAGCAAGTCTCCTATCCCCCTCCATTCCTAACTGTTGCCTCAGAGCCATAGACAATTGCTGCACTTAAACCTGCTCTTGTTGAAGACGAAGCTGATGCTCCAAAGGAAGCATATTGTCATACTTGCCTATGACATTAAATCCAAAAATTCAGTCCGCTGCCCCTGGAGTGCACTCTGGTTAATCTTCGCTTGGATGATATGCTCCAATGATGAATCCAGGTGTCTTGAAGCATGAGAATTCTGCAGTGATTCACTAAGGATATGCCTTTGAAACTGAACTCGATCAAGTATGTTGTCTAGCAGCATAAAATATGTGCTGACCATAACCAGGACCAGACATTGGATGCCGCAGCAACTGATCAATAAGCAATTGCTGAGATTGAAAATGTGGCAGCTGTAGATGTTGCTGCTGCTGCTCCTCCTGTAACAATTTGATTTAGTGGTGGCAAAGCTGTAGTTCCAGCTGCTGCTGCTGCTATCTTTGAAGTTCCAACCACTGCTGCTGTCGTTGAAGTTCCAACTGCCGCTCTTGTTGAAACTGAAGCTCCAAAAGATGTTCCATTTGTGGAGCTGAATGATGGATTGGCTTCTGGAGATCAAAACCATGAATTTGCTCCCCATCAAATCCAGCAGAATGTGGAAAGGGATGAGAGAAATGATTTTTCTCTTGAAGTGGTTCATTTGGCAACTTTTGTGACATTAGTTGCTGTAACAGGCTAAAACCACTGTATTCTTTCTCCATGTGAGGTGAGGACCAACCACCAGTAGTTCCTAGATGAATGTTAGGGTTAGACGAAGCATTTCTTCTGTAATCATCAGGCCAAACCTCTGGAAAAGAAGTTTGTTCAGCAACTGTACAAACAACACTGACCAATAAAATGTGTCTCTCTATCAAGCAAAAGATCTAAAAACTGTCCCCTATCACCAATGCTAGAAGCTATATTAGATGAATGAGAGCGCTTCAAACCAGACGGGCTTCTCAACTCAGATATCAACAAACCAAATGGATGCAACTCATCCTCTTGATGAGAAGTTATATTGATTTTCGAAAATTCATCTGTAATGGACAAATGATTTGCAGGATCAGCTGCAGCACTTGTGGGCCTTCCAGGAAAAATAATTTCAGTAACACACAGGAGGAAAGGAAGGCATCATTAACAAACACAACAAATAACAAAATCAACAATAGCTCCAACCCATTAAACTTACCCTCTTCTTGAGCGTCAGTGAATTTATGGAGGCTCTGATCTTCAGAATGCTCAGAATGATAACTTTGAGTAGGCCGTCTTAACTGAAACTCAGTAGCAGAAGTCTCAGCAGCGGACAATGTCCGCTTCTGATCACATCCAATGGCAGACCCCTTCAACTCAGGAGCAGAAGCAGAAGATGCAGTCTCTCCCAAGCTCCCTTCAAAGAATAGGCTAATTGCATTCTCGTAACTGCATTACCACTGGATGAAGAACCAGAATACATTCTTATGTGTGGCATGACTTCACCATGTTCTTGGAAAGGTGATCCGTCCGGAGCATCCGCCAATTGAACAAGTCTGTACCAAAATAACCTTGCTCAAACCATGTAATTATGTCAATTCCCAGATATGGTCCCTGAATTACTCCTTGAGGATCAAGATAGTACAAACTCAAATGCTCAGGAGGGTTAACAGTAACACTTTCCAACAAATGTGTCTCATTATTGCCCTTAATATTTATCTGGTTAGGGCCTACAGTAGGTTGTAATGAAGAAAAATCAAATAGAGAACTAGAGTCTTCAGGAAGCTCGCCACCCACTCCAAAGTGCATGGATGATTCATCATCCTCCAACGTAGGGTGTTTTTGCATTTTCAAATCAGTGACTTTTCCGTAGTCATAAGATTTTATTTCATCGGCATCTTTTATGGACCCACCAATCTCCCTATCTGATAAAAAGCATGGGTTACATACATCTATTTCAGATGGTGACTCACATCTCAGCCCACCTTTAGAACTATTCATTTCTGTAAGGACAAGCATAACAAATCAATGAATATATTCTCAATGAACAGCTGGTAGACGACAACTAAATATGATAGTTTCCTACCCTTGGTCACAGTTATCAATGAATTAGTCGTATATGCCTCAGGATGTTTCCCTAGATAGTTATTGTTTACAGCAGGCTTCTCACCTGAATCAACATTATCCTCCCTGTTAATCGAGGAACTTTGTTTCCCTTCACCTGAAATCACATCAGCAACATTGGATTAGGACCAAAAAGATAAACTAAGAACGTCAATCATATATAATTATTTACTGGGTAAAACACTAGCAAAAAATCTGGATCCATACTTGTTTCTCTAGATGAATTTTGCAACACTCCACTGCTTGTAGTTTTTCGCTTCCATATATCTCCAAGGACAGCCTGCAGAAATCAAGCAAGCAAATTTGATGCAACCACATAGAAGGATAAATATGACTACATTTCTTCTCTAAATCAGATTAAAAGCCTCGTACTTCTTTATCTGCATCAGGAGGAACAAAAGCCAAAGGCTCGACAGTTTATTTTTGCATTATTGGTAATAAATGATCCACCTCATCAGGCAGGATGTCAAAATTTGGAGCAGTCTTTTGCTTGCGGTAAACGTCAAGGAGTTTTCCTCTTGGGTAGCAATATGCATTAAAAGTTTTGCTTTTGTCCAGAGGAAGAGATCCAATGGCAGAAGCAGACTTTGGCCTCCCAATTTGTAGGTTAGCATTTGACCTACCTCGTCCTGCAAATCGCACATTTGATCCCTCAACTCGTCCCCTTTTTGAACCAAATCCTGGAGCACTATGGTTAGAAGCAGACCCACCTGCATGAATTTCCAATCGATGCAGTGGCCTCCACTTATCAAGAGAATCATTCTCACGCTCAGAAGCTAAGCGAACCCCACCGACAAGAGCTTGTTTGCCAGTACGGGCATCTTCCTTCTCAGAACCTGTCCTCTTCTCAGTTTGAGAATCATTTTCTTTGTCTTCAGGACCCCATCTTAAAGACCACTTGTTGTACCACTTGTTGTCTCTTCGAGATTCATGGCTTGAATTATGACTACTAAAATCATGCCATCACTCTGAAGACGCCAAAGTCCTATTTTCAGGAACATCCTTTGTTGATGAAATATCAGCACGACGGTCTTCTTTTCTCCGATCTCTTCGGCCAAGTAAGCTTGTTTCTCTCTCCTCTTCACGCCAACGGCGACTACTTTCAAGATAAGGGGCAGTCCTCCTCCAGTCTTTCTTGTCTTGAAATGGCTGTCCTTGTTTCCATATGTAATGGGGTAAGGGGAGATAAGATAGTAGGCTGCCCCCAATACCAGGTTGAGAGCAGCTTCCGTAGAAGGCCTCCGAATTATGAAATGCCCTCCGTGAGACTCGATCCCACGACCTCAAGGTTAAGACCCATCCAAATGCCAACTATCTTTTGGATTGGGATCACCAGAGGTTTTATTGGGCAACAAATTTGACGTTCTTATATCCTGTTAGAGTAAATAATTACGAATCGGGAAGGATACAAACCAAAATGAAAATTTGTCCACAAGCTAAAAGTCATATATAAATTTGTGATGAGCATTGTTAAATGATGGAATCTAGTCTGACTAATATTTATGTCATCAGATGTAATTGTTACCCAAACTTCCACCACATAAGGATAAAAAAAGACTAGAAATCATCAACACATCAAGTCTCATATGGAAATGAACGTAAGTGGCCTAAAAACATTAATAAGAGAAATTGAGTTCCATAAGCCAGATGTTCCAGCAGCTAACATCTTAGAATCAGACGGTTTAGCATAAGCCACTGTGGGGACAAAGGTATGTTGCTCTCTGAAATTGCTTGATCTACTGGCCAAAAAAGAAAAGGTTTAATTTTATACTAAAAGAGCTGTTCAAGCTTTTAATGTTAAAAAACTTAAATATTCAACAAAGATCATCACCTTTGGTGTCCTCAAGTAACCCCGTGAGTCCCTTGTCCTCCAGATTCCTTTCCCGTGCTTCACCTAAAAATTAACAAGATCTAATATAATTAATCCATAGGTGAATTTGGAAGAAACACAACCACAACTTGAAGGCCTGTTTCCATGGATTCCCTAAATTATAAAATTATTTGAGAATGAACTGCCAAGTTTCCTTGAAGCAGGTGAACCTTTTAATGAATTGAATCTTTCCCAATAATAAGCATACTAAAGTACCATATCAACGTCAGCGCTGGCAGTTTACATTATACAATAATTATGACAAGCAACTAAACCAATATTCTTTTTTTAATTAAAAAAAGTGTCATCTGTTATCAAACCACTAGTGCATTTGAATGGAAGGTTTGAGCTAAATATAATTCAACATAGAAACAATTGTGAACTTCTTTGTTATAATTGCTTTGCTTTTATGGCGAAAACCTTTGAATAACAACGCAATTAAAAGAAGTGGAAGATATAACAAAATCGAAAAGATTTAGACAAACGCACAGATTGAAACCAAATGGAAACCAATACAATAGGCATGCAAAAATTTAAAATTAGAGGAAACAACGAGAGAAGTAATTGATCGAAAATAAAAAAAAGGAAAAGAAAATGTAGAATACCATTGAGGGAGGAGTGATCAGAGCTGGTTTTGGAGGAGAGGAGATCATCAGGTAGATCTAATTTTCCGTCAGCCATTGAGAATTCTAAAAGGCAGAGATCGCAACGGAGATACGGCGGCGTTTAAGATTCTGAAAAAAAAAGAGTCGCAGGTAGAGAGGGAAATATATAGAGGGAGAGGGAGAGGGATTGCTAGGTTACAAAATAGATTTTTTTTTAAATATTTTTTCGCTTTGAAATAGATAGATAGAGAGGAGCTTAAAATTAAGGGTAAATTACATATTTAGTATCTAAATTATTATTTTTATTTTATTTTGATACTTAAATTTTATTTTTTAAAATCATACCCAACATTTAATTTAGATTTCAATTAGGTACCTGTCGTTAAAAAATTAACATAACTTTCGATGTCGTATTTTTTTACTTTTTCTCAATGATAATGTGGTATTATCTTATGGTGGTATGTCAACATCAATGTTAAGTTTTTAAGTGTACCAAAATGAAACTTAAACTAAACATTAAGTATGATTTTGAAAAAAAAAATTAGGTACCAAAATAAAAAAAAAGTAACATTTAGATGCTAAATGTATAATTTACCCTATGATTAAACAAATAAATATATAAATAAAATATCTATTAGATGATGGAGAGTTTAGTTTTACTTGTGTATTTTATGTGTTTTAAAGAATATAAAAATATAATGTGATTTTTTATCATTTCAATAATCATTTAGATAAATAGATTAAAATAAATATTATTATATAAAGTCATGTTTAAATTATTATAATTTTATTAAAATTATTAATACCATCAAAGTCAATTTAATCAATAATATCACATTTATTGATACTAATATTTTAAATTTTTATAGATTATAATTATTATTGTATTATTGACCATACACCTTCGTAATTAGGGATGTAAAAAACTGGTCCGACTTGCAAAATTAACTAAAACCGACTTGAGTCAAAACTGTTTGTAACCTGAAATGGTGATAATCCGAAACTGATTCGAGTCTGAACTGGTGTTGACATGAACCTGAGTTGGACCCGGAAATTTATAACCTGCACCCGACCTAGAACGACCTGAACTCGAATTTGACCTGATAATGTGACAACTGAACCCAACCTGCATCCGACCTAGTATGAACCTGAACCCGAGAATAACCCATCAAATAATTGATATTACCCGATCTATTATCAACCTGACCTATTATAAACCTGATATGTAACTGACTCTACCTGTAAATGATATGACTTGTTATTAAACTAAATTATTATTTACCTGACTTGACATTTACATGACGTGCAAGTTATAATTGATAAAGTTAGAAAATAATAAAATTTTCTAATTTTACAATGTGACATAATACTTCTTCACAATTTATAATGCATGATTAACTATGATAATTGAATTAATGTATTTACTTTTTATACTTATAAATTGTTGCCTATAAATATATTCAAAAAATTTATTAAATTAATGGATTAAAGTGGCAAGATTGTAATTTTTGGAAAGTGTCATGGGCAAGATGGTAAAGGGTGAAATAATTTGTTCATCATTGACTTTTCGAAGATGATATGGTTGATGTAGCTTGGTTTGAAGGTAATTATGAAGTTTCATTAAGGGTAAAATGGTCTTTACCCAATTAAATGAATTTAATATTCATTTGAGCTTAAATAAGGCTAAATTAACATGAAATTGAGTTTAGAAATTTCATGAAACTTAGCCTATTTTGAGCTCTAAGTCGTGGAAATCCTAAGAGATTTTATTTTTATGCAATTTCCTTTGGATTTTGGATTATGCCGTGAAATAGAAAATTGTTTTACATGAAAAAAACGCTATCATTTGGTACTAATATTGCATGCTAATATTGCTTGTCTTCAAAGATCCTAAATTTTAGGGTTTGTGTTCACATTAGGGTTTATAAAATTGATGAAAGATTATGATGTTTTTGAGATTGTAGAATCATATACAAGTATGATTGTTAATTAAAAGCACTTGTACATGGCAATATAAGCCTATGTTGAATTTAGCCAAACCCTAGCTTTAGGGAAAATGTATTTTGATTAAATTAAGTTAGGGGTTTGATTCTAGAGGTCTTGAAATGTTGAATAGAGGTTGGTTTCATGCTTGAATTAAGTGAAAATCATGAGAAATGTAACCCTAAAGCATTCGACCATGAGGAAATAAGTTGGGAAATTATGGAAAATTTTCCATAGGTTATAAATGATATTTGGAAGATTGTACAAGCCTTAGAAAAAATTTTGGACCAATGTGTAATTTTTCAAAAGTTGAGGGACATATTCGACAATTTTGAAAAGTTATGGGTAGAATGTGTAATTACTCAATAATTGATGTAAATTGCTGGAAATTACTATTTGAGGGCTGAAATTGAAGTTAGATTGTGAAAGTTAGCCATTTTGGAAATTTGGCAAATTTACATACAAAATGGCAAGTATTTGAAAAGTTAGTAATTTAAGTGGTAAATATGGCATTGTTGAGGTATTGAGCTGGAAATTTAATACTGGAAATGTATTGGGCTTATTTGGGCTTGAATTAAAGAATTTGTGACAGTGACCCATTATGAATAAAAAGGAAAATTTAAGATGAAATTTAAAAGAATTTGAAAATAACAATACTTTTGAGTATTACTATTTTGTTTAAATATTAGTAAGGATACTAAAATTGTATTTTATATTTGTATGTGTGAATATGGATGCTTGTGTAGATCGTAATCAAGTTCACGAGACAAGCAAACAAAAAGGCAAGGAAAAAGTTCCAGAATAGTCGGAATACCGTAAGGCATAATAGTGAGGCATACGAAGTTAGTGCATTTATTATGTACTTATATGATATGAGGATGACTTACGATGAGTCAACCTCGAATATTTTCATAAAATCATGATTTACCATATTTTGAAATATTTTCATATAGTTTATGAAAATGATTTTACGAATAATTTTAGGGTATAACTGCAAACTTTTATATTATTTTAACAACTATCGATATTTTAGAATAAATGTTTAATCTACGAATTTTATTTAAGGGCCTATTGTATGTGCATTAAGAGTTGTAGGTGCATTTTGACATACTTTGTGTATGATGGTTACCGATCGATTTTGTTTAATGCATATGTTGCATTTTTGTATCAGTACTTTGTGTGCTTTTCGACACTATATGTGCATCCATGGTATTCATAATGAGTTTGCGAATTACCATTTCGTTATATTAGTAGAGTGTTGTTGTCACTATAGAACCTATGCTTTCGTTTAGCACTTATGTGCAACTAATGTTCCTTGCATTCTCATTTGGTATACATTGGGCGATAAATGGATATTTTGGAAAATATTGATTGATGGGTATGCTGGGCATACTTAATATTGTTTCACATGTTATGTGAAAAAAGCTTGGTTTACCAAGTCAGTTTTATGTATTATTATGATTTATACAATTAAATTTGTATTTTGATATTTTATGATATACTTATGTTTTGGTTACACCTCATTTATATTATTATACCTCACTAAGTGAATACTTAGCATGTGATGGTTTCACGCGTAGGTAATAGCGTACAATCAGAGTAAGGAGTGCAACTGACATCGTAAATCAAAGATTGTCACATCAGTAATTGTATGACCTCTATGTCTACTTTTGATATCACTAGATGGCATGTAATAGATATATGATGATGCTCTGATATGTATTTGGCATATGGATTGTAGTATTTACTACGTTCGAACTTTAATGTTATTTTACGTACTAGTAGTTAATGAACATTTTTATTATTATTATTTTAAAATGTTTTATTTAAATAAACAAAATTTTACTGGTTTTCAAGGACGAAAATGTTTTAAAAGTCATGTGACATATGTGACTCGTGTACGGGGAAGTATACGGGAAATGGGTGTTACACTCTTGGTGTTCCAAAGTGAGTAAAAATATTCTTATGTAGGAATCGCAGAATTACTTTAACATCACTTGAGGGTAATGCTACAACCTCAACCCACTTAGAAACATAATCAACGAAAAAAAGAATGAAAGTATTACCATAAGATGATGGATAAGGCTCTATAAAATCCAGTCTCCAAGCATCGAACAATTCAGTCTCCAAAATAGGTTACATTTACATTTCATTGCACCGAGAGATGTTCCTCGTTCTTTGGCATCTATCACAATGTTGTACGAAAGTATTTGCATCCTTGAATAGCGATGGCCAATAATAACCACACTAGAGGACTTTTTCTACTACACGCATGCGTCCAAAATGTCTGCCATAAGTTGCACTATAACAATGCTATAAAATGTTATGATATTCAATCTCAAGAACACATCTCCTTAAAAGTAGATCATTACATTGTTTAAAAAGACAACGTTCTTTCAAAAAATATGATGTGACATCCCTCATAAATTTCTTTCAACCTTGGTAATTAAGGTCCGGTGGCAGCATACCACTAACCAGACAATTCACAAAATCTACATACCATGGTAGAGCATCGATGGCCAGCAATCGTTCATCGAGAAAAACATCTGGTATTACAAGTTCTTTGCCATTTTCACTTTCATATTCCAAGCGGGATAAATGGTCAACCACTTGGTTCTTAGTCCCCTTTTTATCACGAACTTCAATGTTAAATTCTTGAAGTAGCAGCACCCAACGTATCAATTTAGGCTTAGTATATTTCTTAGCAAGCAGATGCTTCAGAGCTGAGTGGTCGGTAAAGACTATCACCTTGGTTCCAACCAAGTAAGGTCAAAATTTGTCAAAAACAAAGACCACATCAAGTAATTCCTTTTTAGTTGTGGTGTAATTTACCTGAGCATCATTCAATGTCCTGCTAGCATAATGAATATCATGGAAGACTCGCTCCTTGCGTTGCCCCAACATTGCTCCAATAGCAAAGTCTCTAGCATCACACATCAATTCGAAAGGTAAACTCCAATATAGCGCTACGACAATAGGAATGTTGACTAGCTTAGATTTGATACTCTTAAATTTCTTGTTTTGCTCTAACAATGAGCACAAGGGTTTGGTAATTTTTGAGAAATCTTTGATGAATCATCTATAAAAGCCCGCATGCCATAGAAAACTTCTTACGACCTTTATATGCGATAGAGGAGGTAATTTCTCAAAGACTTCTACCTTGACCTTGCTTACTTCAATGCAACGTTGATAAATGCGATGCCCTAGCACTATGCCTTCGGTCA